GTTGTCTCTACATTGATACAGTTGAATAAATAAAGAAGAACACTCCCATTCTCATGTAACATCATTTTGAGAAGAAATGATGCTCTGAGTGAAGGCAATGGAAGTAAGTCACTCTGACTTTTTTGGGTTATCCTAGGTTCTCTACACATATGTTGTTATGTATTTATGTTATGTATCGTGTTTATTATATAATTTTGAAAAAAAATATCACGGATGGATTAATGAAAATGTGTATATTAACGTAATATACAACATTTAATGATACACCGAGCTCAGACAGCGTAAACAAACTGAACAGGTTGTGGACGATCACTCGGTCAGGCGAAATAGACGGTATTAATACGTGTCCAGTTTTAGTTCATTCATGTACATTTGTAAGAGTTTGTGAAACTTTTACCTTATAATATTTTTATTATTATTAAAATAATTAAATCACAAAACAAATACTCTTACACTGTGTACAAGTTAGTACAGAATTATAGCTATAAAGTGAAGGCATACGAAAGGAATATTTTTCTACAGTTATCCCTAGTAACAGGTGACGGGCTAGAGAAAACGCAATTCTTCCGACACTTCTACAAACCGTTTGGTAAACATCTCGTATATATTTGTATAAATTTTTATACTGTGGGTGCATGTATCATGTTTGTGTGTTACATAATGTGTTTCTTATATAATTTTGAAAAAAATATCATAGATAGATTAAGGGAAATGTCTATATTAACGTAATATGTGACATTAATGCGCCCAAGAGATTATTATTATTACTATTATTATTACTATTATTATTATTATTCTTCTTCTTCTTTCAACGTACCAGCCGTATCCCACTGAGGTGGGGTGGCCCAAAAGAAAAAACTGAAGTTTCTCCTTTTAAATTTAGTAATATATACAGGAGAAGGGGTTACTAGCCCCTTGCTCCCGGCATTTTAGTCGCCTCTTACGACACGCATGGCTTACAGAGGAAGAATTCTGTTCCACTTCCCCATGGAGATAAGAGGAAATAAACAAGAACAAGAATTAGAAAGAAAATAGAAGAAAACCCAGAGGGGTGTGTATATATATGCTTGTACACGTATGTGTAGTGTGACCTAAGTGTAAGTAGAAGTAGCAAGACTTACCTGTAATCTTGCATATTTATGAGACAGACAAAAGACACCAGCAATCCTACCATCATGTAAAACAATTACAGGCTTTTGTTTTACACTCACTTGGCAGGACGGTAGTACCTCCCTGGGCGGTTGCTGTCTACCAACCTACTACCTATTATTATTATTATTATTATTATTATTATTATTATTATTGCATCAAGAGTAGAGAGACTCTTAGTGATTTTAATGTGTACCTACATGCCAGCACAGTGTGTAAGTTTATTTAGGTACAGGTGTACACAAGTTTAATTATCAAGTACAATACATATAAAATATAAAATAACTTTAAAACACTTGAAATTTTGGAAAGTTTCCAGACATAATAAGGAGATGTGCTCAGGGAGAATGTAAACAAACTCGGTGGGCCGCTGTGACCGTATTAGAAAGACAGGTGGGGGGAGCCGGATAGCGAGTTTTGGTCATAATTTGAAATGTCCGTATTAGCGGAACGCCGTAAAGCAAAACGCCGTAAAGCGGGGCCCTCCTGTATATTAGTAATGTTCTATTATATATTTACAAGTGTACAAGAACTTACTCCCTGTTCAGTGCATCCACACTTACTACTGTGCAATCTACATCTACAGGACCTTAAATTCCAATATTAACCTTGACCTAAAACGCTTTCTTGATAGTTGTGACAGAACCCACAGGCACAACACCAGACACAAACATCTCTATGACATTCCCCGTGTCCGACTAAACCTTTACAAAAATTCAATGTATGTCAAAGGCCCTAAAATCTGGAACACCCTACCTGAAAATTCCAAAACTGCAGACACATTCATCACCTTCAAAACTACCATCAGAAAACATCTTATCTCCCTGATACACCCTGTCAACTAATAATACGAATACCACCTGGTGGTTCACACTTACACTCACTCACCCATTTGACCATAAACAGAAATATCAATCTCAATCTCAAAATAATGAATCTTAACTAGTCAAAAGTTGGCCTGTGATACTCCAATACTGAAACTATGTATAGTGCCAAAACAAAAGCATTCACATTGCTAAACTCACAACTAGTATTTAGTCACTTAGCCATAATACCAAGTCATCTCATAATTCTGTAACATTTTAAACCTAAGATTTAATATAAGTCTGCCCGAAATGCCTAGCCATGCTAGGCGTTCTAGTGGTACACTCTGTAATTATTATTTTACTACATGTAAACCACACAATAACCAAATTCTGTAAACTCAGCATTGTAATACTTATAGAGAATAAAGTTTGAATTTGAATTTGAATTTGAATTTGATGACTGACAAAGCACTTTGTCTCGGAAACTGCGGAGTCAGTAGCTAGCTTGCGTCGCCACTCACTCAGTCTTGGCTGGTGTCTCATGCCACCAATACCTATTGACCATATGGTACACGGTATATGTTACAGGGTACCATATGGTACATTGTACTATATGGTAAAGGGTACCATGCAGTACAGGATAACATATGGTGCAGGGTACCATATGGTACAAGGTACCATATGGTACAGGGTACCATATGGTACAGGGTACCATATTGTACAGGGTACCATATGGTGCAGGGTACAATATGGTGCAGGGTACAATATGGTGCAGGGTACCATATGGTACAGGGTACCATATGGTACAGGGTACCATATGGTACAGATACAGGGATAACTATAGAAATAAGTCACCCTGACTTTTTTTGCGTTATCCTAGGATTTTATACATATGCTACTATGTATGATAATCTATGTAATTGTATTTCAGTACACCTGAATAAACTTACTCAAGTTCATGTGGCATCATAAGTAAGTTTATTTAGTTATACACAAATTAAGTTACATAGAATATCATACTTAGCAGCATATGTTTGGAGAACCTAGGATAACCCAAAAAAGTCAGACAGATTTATTTCCATTAGGGTCCCTGTACCCTGTACCATATGGTACAATGTACTATACATACATTGTACCATATGGTACCATATACCATTGTACCATATGATACCATTGCATGACATGGCACCATTGTACCATATGGTACCATTGTACCATATGGCACAATGGTACCATATGGTTCAAAACCATAGAATTTGTCTTCAGCTCCACTTCCATCAGTCTTAGAACTTTAAGTTGTGAAGAGGAGAGTCAGAATTCGCCCGGAGAGTGAGTGGGGAGTGAGAGCATCTTGCCGCCAGGCACTATGAACAAAGTTACTTTGCCGGCATTCCCACAATGCCATGTGGGCGTCCAGATTTTTTCTATGGTGTGCACACTGACCACCCAGACCTACCAGCCTTCTCATGCTAAATTTGACGGCGCTAGAATTTTGGCGTAGATCTACAGTTTGGACCCTGAACGTAAAGCCGTAGATCTACGGGACGGACCCTAAAAGGGTTAAAGAGGTGCCAGAAACAGACCTCTCTGGACAGTTTTTTTGTGTGACGGGTCAAGTGACTCTTAAGCTGGTCCTAGTGCCATTAAAAGACAAGGAAGGGAAGTAACCCCAGAGAGGGACTTGATACCTAAAGTTCTTATGGAGGGGGAATTCCCCTTCCAACTAATAACCTCTCTTCCTCCCTCTCCAACAACTTCTCCACATCCTAGATTGTTTGTGATCTCTGTTTTGTTAGCATATTTACCCCTTTCGCAACATTAGCTTCCTTGATTTTTGCTTTCTTCGCCAGGATGGAACTGATTCTTGTCAACTTCCCAAACATCCTGGCAAGCTTGGCCACATGTATGCCACTTTTATATTTTGCTACAAGTTCTTTCTAGAATTCTATCATATTTATCACCTTCTTTACCAAAGGGCTGGCACTCTGAACTTTCTTTGGCCCCATGGTGGCTTATTTCACAGTCGCAATCAATAAACAAGCACAAAAAACAATGGATGAATGCACGGAGTATTGCTAACTCAACAAGAGACAGAGGCAGACCGAGTCTGGTACACGTGAGAAGCGGCATCCCAGGTGGGTGGACACATCTGATACAGACGATTTCCAAGCGGATGTGCGAAACCCAGGAGAAATTTTCGCCCAAAAAATTGCTCGAGATCCGAATTGTACGATTTCCGCATCGGACGAAAACCATGAGTCCACTGAAGAAGTCTACTGTGCAAACAAAATGTTTCAACAATAAAGATACCCAACTGTTGCATGTGTTTTACTTATCAACTTGTTTGTATTTTATACCATTTAGAAAATCCCAGGGTGAAATATGAAGACAGTGTATGGTATTCCAGGAACTTTAGGAATCTACAGAAAAAAATATGGATAATTTCACAAGCAGTGGCAGCATCATAATCTTATTATTTTTAATAAAACATTATTTTATTTTCACTTAATGTGAGCATAGATGTAAAATAAATTTTGTCAAAATGCTCACCTAAACCACTTAGCTTAATGATATACATGAATTTATGCCACAGACAGAACTTGAACATTAACCAGAAATGGTTATTAAAAAAGTTTAAGTACACTTCCCTTAGGTAACATTACAAAAGTCTTCATACAGCAGCCTAAATCAATTATACAAATTAGCCAATGAATAAAAGCAATAAACATACCTACCACTGTATAGCAGTAATTTTTGGTGACACCAGTCACTAAAGGTAAGATGATGTGCAACTTTTGTGTGGAGAACCTTCCAACTCACAGTGAACTGCTTGGCTAAATTCTGTATAGCAGAAGGGCTTTCTTGCAGCCTGCATGCATGAGGTAGAATACATTTCATAGGCTTTCTTCATTGTAATATTCAATGATGGTTTATAATTCCCAGATATGGCATAATCATTACCTTGCCACTGTACTAGCTGTTTAATCTGATTCCTCATAAAAGTGGAATCCTCTGGAGGAGTTTTAGCATGTGGAGAATTCTTACCTCGTTTATCTTCAGGAACATCTGTTGGATTAATTGCTTTATGATTCACTGCCCGAGATAATCTACCATTGGATATCTGAAGTACAGAACAAAATAAAATTTTACAAACTTTTTTCTTTATTCCTTCAAAGTTAGGCAAAAAATATATTCTAGTGTGCACACGACGTGACACTGCTTTCTGGGAGGTTTTTGCAATTGTGCCCTTGATCTCTATATGATCCCAAAGAAACTTAGTTTGAAGATTCCATGTACCCAGTGCCCAGTACTGCCTAAATAAAATTTCTTGTTGTTCAACTGGCATAAACTCATGACATTTATTATTACAACAGGTATACTGTGGTAAAAATTCCTTTCCCCAAACAATTTTTCCTGATGAAGCCACATAACTCTTTCCTTCATTACGAAGCTGTTTACGCAGGTTATGAATGCTCAACTTTCCAGCATGGTTTTGTCTCGAAGGGTTATTATTTGCACTCTGCGGAGTGCTTTGATAATATGTAGTGTTTGATAATTGACCCTCAGTCACTTTTGATATCTTGTGTCCTTTGGTCATCCTAAGACATGTTGTTCCCTTGGAATGTGCCTCCTTATAGCCGACAGATGTAGGGTCTGCAGATAATTTACAGCTTCCTTGAAATGACTGTTTTTTGTCAGTCTGCACAATACATGAATAGTTGTCTATTTTATTTTCTTGTAGTTCAGGTGGTGAAGAGACATTAAAAAATTCTTCTTTTCTACTTCTTGGTAATAACTTCCTAAATACTTTAATACTGACTATGGGTTTTCTGGTCTCTATACAAAACTGTTTATACACAGCATGGGTTTTCTTAATAGTTACTCCCTGAAGAAGAGAACTCTTGGCCTTTTTTTCCTGATAAACTTGATTATGAGGTAAGGAGCGAATATATAGTTTGGCTATATGAATAGCAGCTTCTGATGTCTTGTTGGCAGGAGTGTTAAGACCTCTCTTATCTTTTGGCTCCTCATTAGGACTAGCAACTAATTTTTTATTAAGTGTATAATTTATTCTCCCATTTGATATTTGTAGTACAGACATAAACATTTTTTTGCAAACTTTGCTTTTATTTTGTAAATTGGGCAAGTAAAACTGCCTGGTGTGAACTCGTCTGGAAGTTGAATTTGTAGTTTTCCTTACAGCCTTTACAATGTTAATATACTCCCATAGGAATTTAGTCTGTTTATTCCAATCCCCCATATTCCAAAACTCAGAAAATATTCTTTTCTGATTATCAGAGCTAAAATTTTGAAAACATTTAAAACTGCAACACTGCATTACTTGTTTATATATTTTGCCCTTAACTTCTTTGCCATTCTGCATAATATATGCTTTGCCAAGATTTTTCATTTTTTTCCTCAAGTTTTTCTTCCAGTGTTCACTGTTTTTGCAAAGTTGCTCATTATCATGAGATTTGCTTTGCATAGTCACTTCACTGTAAGAACACGGTACACTCTTCACTTTATTCTTTAATGAATAAAGGGATGCACTTGTGCTTAATGCAGCCATGCCCAATCTATTAACCTGAGAAACATTTGCAGCAGAGTCAATACTCACAGTCTGTGTGGTACACAATGAAGCCGGTGGCATACTGGAAGTCTGATATAAACACGAAGAAGTTATTTCTTGATCTTTATGTACAGAATGGTATTCCAATGGCATTGTCTGAGGTGAGTGAAGACTGTGGGTAAAAGGTGAATCATTAATACCAGTACGAAGCAATTTTGTTGGGCACGGTATTGGATATTCCAGTTCAGTGGGAGGAAGAGATGGACTGTAGTGAATTACATCCAACTGAGTATGTGATGAATCATAAGGTTCTTCATCATGTGCCTCAACTCTGTCTTCATCCAGGGCACTGTTCACACCTGCCAAGATATATCTTAATTAGATTTTAGGTTCTTGAGACTTGTTATAATAGTTCTTGATTCTGTAAAGCTTCTCTCTCTCTTTATATATATATATATACAGTAGGGCCCCACTTATACAGCAGGTTACGTTCCAGGCTACTTCCGGAAAACGGACACCATTTGTTTCCACTTATAAATGTCAGATATTAAGTTTACACTAGCAATAGAACTAGGCATTAAAAACAATAAAAAGTAAAATATACACACAGTACACTCATTACTAATCTCAAAATATTTGTAGTCTTAATGTAGGTGAGAAGTGAGTAGTGTTTATTGTAAGAAGTCAGGTGTGGTAGGTATGGTAGCCAGCCAGGCCCCCCCCCCCCCCCCCCACTCACACATAATATACCACGACATTTAAAGCGCCCTAGAGTGATAAAAAGCATATAGTGTACACTCATTACTTACCTTAAAATATTTGTAGTCTTAATGGTCTTAATATAGAGTGCAAGGTGAATAGAATTTATTTATAGAAAGTCAGCTGTGATAGGTATGGTAGCCCATCTGGCCACCCCACCCACATATAATATACAAGGCATTTAAAGTGCCCTAGAATGATAAAATGCATATACAGTACACTCATTACTTACCTTAAAATATTTGTACTCTTAATGTAGTGTGAGAGGTGAGTAAACGAGATAAAAATAAATAAACGACAGAGAGAGATCAAGTAAATGAGAGAGGACAGAGCAGCAATGTAAACAGATGAACACAGCTAATGGGTTGATACACATTCATTTCCATATTTGTAAAGCTTATATCATAATACAAGCACTTTACATTGTGTACAAGTTGTCTCCACATTGGTATAGTAGAATAAAGAGCAACACTCCCATTCTCATGTAACACACCATTTTTAGAAGGAATAACGCTCTGAGTGAAGGCATAAGAAAGGAATAATTTTCTACAGTTGCCCCCAGTAATACTATTGTGTACACGTTTTCTTTGGTGTTGGGCAAGAGAAAATGTCATTCTTTCCGACACTCCAACAACACGGCTTTAAAAACATCTTATATTTATGCTAATTTATTCTACTGTGGGTGTACATATCATGTTTATATGTTATATGTTTATATGTTTATACGTTACTGCCAATTTCTGTTTTCGTTAAATTTTTCATCGATATTTTGGTTCCGTTTTCGTCGATGGTAAGGAACCTGTCCAGTGCCCAGCGCGCAGACAAAGCCACCTCCCTCACGCATTCTCAGGCAGCGTCGCATTGTTTCTTGGTGAGTGAACATATCCTGCCAGGTCATATGAAACATTTCGTAATAATCCATTGTTTTTGGCACTTGTTTATTATGTGTGACTGCTAAACAAGCCACCATGGCCCAAAAGAAAGCTCCTAGTGCCAGTCCTTTGGTAGAAAAAGTGAGGAACACCGAAAAAATGAAAAAAGAAATTGTTCAAAAATATGATAATGGCATACGCATTGCTGAACTCAGCAGGATGTATGGGAAGACGCCATCAACGATCAGCTCCAGTGTGGCAAAGAGAAATCATGGAAGCTGATGTTGCGAAAGGGGTGAATGCGATAACCAAACAGAGATCCCAAACAAGTGAAGAAGTGGAGAAATTGTTGTTGGTGTGGATCAGAGAGAAAGAGTTAGCAGGAGATAGTGTTGTGCAGTCAATAATTTGTGAAAAGGCAAGGCAGTTGTATGGTGATCTCCTAAAGAAACTGCCTGAAACGAGCGCTGATGTTGGTGAATTTAAGGCCAGCAAAGGCTGGTTCAAAAAATTCAAGAAGCGAAGTGGCATACACAGTGTTGTAAGGCATGGTGAGGGTGCCATTTCTGACAAACAAGCGGCTGAAAAATTTGTGCAGGAATTCAAAGGTTATGTAGAGGTTGAAAAATTCCAACCCTAACAAGTGTTCAATTGTGACAAAACAGGCCTGTTTTGGAAGAAAATGCCTGGAGTTTACCTGGAGAGAGTTCCGGGGGTCAACGCCCCCGCAGCTCTGTCTGTGACCAGGCCTCCTGGTGGATCAGAGCCTGATCAACCAGGCTGTTACTGCTGGCTGCACGCAAACCAACATACGAGCCACAGCCCGGCTGGTCAGGAACAGACTTTAGGTGCTTGTCCAGTGCCAGCTTGAAGACTGCCAGGGGTCTGTTGGTAATCCCCCTTATGTATGCTGGGAGGCAGTTGAACAGTCTCGGGCCCCTGACACTTATTGTATGGTCTCTTAACGTGCTAGTGACACCCCTGCTTTTCATTGGGGGGATGTTGCATCGTCTGCCAAGTCTTTTGCTTTCGTAGTGAGTGATTTTCGTGTGCAAGTTCGGTACTAGTCCCTCTAGGATTTTCCAGGTGTATATAATCATGTATCTCTCCCGCCTGTGTTCCAGGGAATACAGGTTCAGGAACCTCAAGCTCTCCCAGTAATTTAGGCGTTTTATCTCCGCTATGCGCGCCGTGAAGGTTCTCTGTACATTTTCTAGGTCAGCAATTTCACCTGCCTTGAAAGGTGCTGTTAGTGTGCAGCAATATTCCAGCCTAGATAAAAACAAGTGGCCTGAAGAGTGTCATCATGGGCTTGGCATCCCTAGTTTTGAAGGTTCTCATTATCCATCCTGTCATTTTTCTAGCAGATGCGATTGATACAATGTTATGGTCCTTGAAGGTGAGATCCTCCGACATGATCACTCTCAGGTCTTAGACATTGGTGTTTCGCTCTATTTTGTGGCCAGAATTTTTGTACTCTGATGAAGATTTAATTTCCTCGTGTTTACCATATCTGAGTAATTGAAATATCTCATCGTTGAACTTCATATTGTTTTCTGCAGAGGACCTATGTCACACAGGAGGAAAAGGCACTCCCAGGACACAAGCCTATGAAAGACAGGCTAACTCTCTTGTTGTGTGGTAATGCTAGTGGGGATTTCCAAGTGAAGCCTTCACTGGTGTATCAATCTGAAAATCTCAGAGTGTTTAAGAAAAACAGTGTTGTCAAGAGTAAATTGTGTGTGATGTGGAAGGCTAACAGTAGGGCATGGGTCATTAGGGAAATTTTCCTGGAATGGTTCAATGAAGTGTTTGGCTCGAGTGTGAAGAAATACCTCCTGGATAATAAATTGCCACTCCAGTGCATCCTTTTAATGGACAATACTCCTGCTCATCCTCCAGACTTGGAAGACCAACTGTCTAAGGAATTCAGTTTTGTAACAGTGAAGTTCTTGCCTCCTAACATCACTCCTCTCATACAGCCCATAGACCAGCAGATCATTGCAAACCTCAAAAAACTGTACACCAAAGCAATGATTTAAAGGTGCTTTGACATAACCTCGGACTCTGAATTGACCCTAAGAGAGTTCTGAAAGAATCACTTCAGTATCTTCCACTGCATAAGCCTTATAGATATGGCTTGTCAGGGAGTGACTTCCAGGACGATGAACTCTGCTTGGGTAAAACTGTGGCCAGCTTGTGTTCAAAAGAATTTTGAAGGGTTTGAGGCTGACCCTGTCGACCCTACACCTGTTGTGCAATCAACTGTGGCATCGGGGAATTCCATGGGGTAGGATGTGAGTGGCGAGGATGTGGAAGAGTTGGTGGAGGACCACAATCAAGAGCTAACCACTGATGAGCTGCAAGAGCTTCATCTGCAACAGCAACAGACCATAGCTCAGAAAATTGCTTCAGAGGAGGAGGAGGAAGAGAGATGGAAGAAGATGCCTTCTTCAAAGATTAAGGAGATTTGTGCAATGTGGACTAAAGTGCATTCATTTGTGGAGGAACATCACCCTGACCATTTTAGGCAAATCTTAAAGAGATGCCAGAAACAGACCTATCTGGACCAATTTTTGGTGTGACAGGGCTCCAGTGACTCTCAAGCTGGTCCTAGTGGCATTAACCTCTTGACTGTCGCAACCCCCAATCCTGAGGTGTCCTCCTGGTGTCTCAAAAAAAAAAAAAAAAAAAAAAAAAATCTTATGAAATGATAATCTTTTCCCAATTGTAATGACACCAAAAAAAAAAAAACGTAATTTGATGGAAAACTGACAGAACTACGCTCTTGCGAAGTTAGCAACCTAAGCGATATTTACAAATCGGCGATTTTGCCCACTTTGAGCCCTATTTTCGGCTAATTCCACTGTTCCAGTCGACCTAACTCATAGCTATTTCTTTAGAACTCCATTTTTCTATCAATTGAGTACAAGAAACTGCCCATTTACCAATTTCAACTACCCAATAACGTGGTCAGAAATTTGCAATTTGCCCAATTTCACGAAAATTAAAAAATATGACAATTTCAAAATAAGGTCCAGAATGAACAATGCAGACATTCTTTGTTCATTTTCTTTGTTCATTAGTCACATCTCCAGGCCCCTCTGATATTACTCTTGCTTTCTATTTTGAATTTTTATTCAAACAAAAAATAGAAGATTTACTGTTATGCAGACTACTGCAATACTGTAATAATTGTGCAAATAATGTCAACCCATTCATGACTGCATATTAGAATGGCTAGTTGGACATTTATTGGACAATGACATAATTTGTTCACTTTTGAACATCGGCAAAAATCAAACATTTCCCCTACTTTGAGCTCCATTTCCAGGTTCTTTTTATAAAAAAAAACAATCAAAATTACCTCTATTTCTATAATATGTTTTCCATTTTATCAAATGAGACCAA